ACAAAAGGCCACATATTGTATGATTCCCTTCATATGAAATGTGCAAAACAGGCAAGTCCATAAAGACAGAAGAGGTTGCCTGAGGCTGGGGGGTTGCGGAGGGGAAGGAAGTGACAGATAAGGGGAGTAGGGTTGGTTTGTTTTAGGGGTAAAAAAAATTAAGTGTGATGATAGATGCACAACTCTGCGAATATACTAAAAACCACTGAATTGTATGCTTTAAATGAGTATTTGTATGATACGTGAATTACATCTCAATAAATCTGTTTGTTTATATATGTAATGGGAATGAAAGTTGTCATTCCTGTAGGTTCAAAACATCAACGACGCAAAGTCTGGAGGAAAGAGCCTTCATAATAAGTTTGTGTTAGAAGCCCAGGGGCTGGGCATGCGTGGTAATGAGCTAACGGTCAGCTGCAGGTGAGTCGACCTTGGGTGGGTTCTACTGAAATGCCAAGATAAACTGAGGCTACATGGGAGCAGGATGTACAAGGGTGAGGCGTGCTCTCACCATCCACCAGTCCCCAGGTGGTGACGTGCCCACAAATTTCCTGGGGATCTTGCTAAAGTGCTGATTCTCACTCGGCAGGACTGGGTGGGGCCCAAGCTCCTGGGCCATGGGCCACACAGCTGGGTAGGAAGACAGGACACTAACACTCAGAGAAGCTAAATGACTCAACCCAGGCCACTCACTCAGAAGAGGCACACGATTTCAGCCCGGTTCTAAGTGACTCCAAAACGAAGGTTCTTTCCACCATGATACCCATGACCCAGGTTCTGGACGTCATGTCCCAAGAGAAACCAAGCTCTAAAAGCAGGATCCGGGCTGTGAAGAGCTATGGAGCCCACATCAGAGGAGGAGCAGCTAGGGAATGAGAAAAGCGTGATCTTAAAAGACAACTCAGGAAATATGGTGGCTGGCCCCCAGCCTGGGAAGATGTGTCCTGTGAAGGAGCCATGCCATGCCATGCCCACCGACCTGGAGGCCCCAGTGGGGGCGCTTGCCATTGAGAAGCAATGTGGGCAGATCAGGGTGGGCTCCTTATAAAGAATGTTCTAATAGTCGGAACTGTCCTACAATAGAACAGGCTATTCCAGGAGGGAGGTAGAGGCCTTAGATTAGAAGCCTGTATTCCCCAGACACCACTTTCACAATTCTGCTGTATCGATAACATGACCTTATTAACCCTACCACAAAGTGGCATCATTTGCTAGTAATATAAAAAGAAATCTTGCAAAGACAAATCTTTAAATTCTACCTTACAGGCACTCACCTGGGAGACTGCGTTTCTCTTTTGACTTTTTAAAGGAAATTAACAAGTGTGAGATAAGCATTAAAGACCTATTAGTAGGAAACAGAGATTGTTTCCTAATATATTTAGGATTGAAATAAAATTCACAAGATCACCCTTTTTCAACCTTCTGACAGTCAAATGCACCAACTAAAATCATCATGGGAAACACTGGACCTCATGGTCTAAACACCCATTCAACCAGAAACTGCTGGAGCCCGGTGTCCCTCCTCTAACTAGAGCCAACTAGCCTGAGTTTCCTCAAGCCTTGTTCACATGGTCTCGAGGGCTCTCATCACCCCAGTTGCTCTCCATGGATAAGCGCCAGTTCACTGCACATGTGGCCTGAGCAGCACCAAAGAGAACAGGGCTGGAATTGAGCTGGAACGTTATCGTTCCATTGACGCTGCCACAGGTCCTGTCCGCTCCCCAGCAGCCCACTTTGGTGCGGGGCTCACTGAGCTTTCCCAAGGTGAGATCTGCCCTGTCTTTCTCCCCGGGCAGTGGACAGGCACACCCTCCCTGGCCCATCCTTGATTAGTGGTTGCTTCTGCATGGACTATGTGACATGTATCCAATGAGGCAGTTTGGGATTAGTAGAAGGAACAACTTTCTTACAATTAAAGTTGTTCAAAAAAAGACTAGATTGTCCTACTGTGCTGTTTCCTTCTATCTGTGAGGTATGCAAGCAGAACCCAGCAGAGAGGTAATTCAGCTGCCGATGTTTGGCCAGCAGGTGACAAGAAGGTCTCCCGTTCTAAAGCCCTGTGCTTCTAGAATACACTAAAGACAGAGGAAGAACCAGCACGGGTGCGCCACGATGGAGGAATACTGTTATGGGTCGTCGGAAAAGTCATGACGTATTTTTTCTATGTTTTTCGTTACAAAAACGCATCATGACTTTTCGGACAACCCAATAAAATTCTCCTCTCTGCCCTGGGGGGTCCAAAGCATCAGATTTGCTGCCCTAAATCATTTCATTCTCACGACTACCCTATGAAATAGGTAACACATCCCCATTTTGCAAATGACAAAACTGATGCTCCGAGAGGCCAAATAACTTATCTGGGTCGCCAACTCAGTTGGCAGAGACGGGATTCCAAGTCAGTGGGAGTTGACACCAAAGTCTGGGCTCATCTAACTCTACTCAGCAGGTCACAGGAGGAAATGACAAAAGCAAAAGGCCGTCAGTTGGTGGGAATCTGGAACACGAAGGTAAGCAGTTTTGGTTTAATACAGGAGAAAAGACAAAGGCAACAACTTTTTTGATGAAAGGCATTATTTTTTCATCTTTGTAAATACTTGAGATCAGTTAATAATTTAAAACTAAGAAAAATAACAGGACAAGGGGAAATACATGAAATAACAAAGAAGGGGAAATAAATGAACGATAAGGCCCTTGGGAGGTATAGACGCAGCTAAGGAAGGAAGGTTCTTGGCAGCCTTCGGCCCTGTCCCCTCAGTGACATCAACCAGCCTCCAATTAAGAGAAACAGCCAAGAATGAGCCCCACAAGGGGCACAGGGCACCTGCTTCTCAAACCACCTTTTGGGAAAGTGCTCCCCCAGTTTCTAAAGGGGGGACGTCGGAAAGCTCCATTACCTACATCCTACCAGCAGTCTGTCCTCCATGATAACTGCTCACCACCAGGAAATTCACGACTCCTGGATGGTTTGCATTTGCTCACAGGGTGAGCGGAAGTTACTGTCATGGATTCAACCAGCTTATCAATGATTAACATGGCTTCAGGAGCTTATCAAACAGTGTCTGATCCTTCTGGCTTCCATCTAACCACACAAACACACATGGCCTTCACAAATACAACTGCTCCAGGGAAATTACAAAGGAACCGGTGACAGCATTCTCCACGGTCACAGCTAAGCACGCGGGTGGAGTGACACACGTGTCAAGGCTGTGGAGAGAATCTACAATCCCACCAGAGGCTACGGAGCCCACGTTTCAAGCTACAATAGGTACCTTTACTCATCATGTCTGCTTCTATTGTAAATACCAAATTAAAGAGCGCAGGTGCAAGCAACAAATACCTGAACTCTTCGTAGAAATCTCGCAAAATCACGGCTGCCACGCTAGAGGCCCAGCAGTTGGGAAAACATTTGGAAACTTCATTTAAAATGCTATTATATATAAGGAAAGGTCCAGAGTGAGATTTCCTGGAGCTTATGAATATTTATTACATTGCATTTCTTAAAACAACCAAAAAAATAAGTACAGTATTAATAGGAAACAGGTTTATAAGAGTTCGCCATATGTTTACATTATGCAAACTGTAGTTAAAGACCTATAACCAGAATATTGTTAAATGCTGAAGAAAGGCAAGAGGGGGCTGCTGCTATTTGGACATTTTCTTAAAGTCGGCAAGTGACATTTTTGGAACTTTTGACAACCTGTTCCCTGAGGAGCTCCTGTGGGCACATCTTGTTACTAACTTCTCAGTAATCTGGTGGTGGAGTCCCAGGTTCAAGGCCAAGTGGAAAGCCTGGGGTTATCACAACCCTTTTGTTCATGGCCTAAGGCTTTGCCAGAGGGAAACAGATGTCCTGAACCTTGACTGGAAAGCTCTCACACTCGGCTCAGTCACCCCCACCCTGGGAACCAGCATGCCCATGACTCCCAGACAGCTAGCTGAGCACACTCCAGCCTCCGGGTTAGCGGCCAGAGAAGAACTTCGCCAGGACAAGGGCGTCAGCTTGAGCTTCGTGACAACAATCAAGCCAGGCATCCTCTGAGCACAAACCCCAGGCTGACAGGCAGGTGAAAAGGCAAAAGTCCATGGGGGGTATGGAAAGCTGACAGATGCCCCCTTTGTAAACTGTAAAGACCTATAACCCCACACTTTCACCAGATACCACACTGTTTAAGGAGGGCTGACTAATTAAGGGTTGGTTTGTTTTTTCAAATTTCATATTAGGAAAGCCATACATGGTCATTGTAAAAAATATGCGAAACAAAAAATATATATATAATAAAGGAGATATTTTTTAAATAGGATTGAATTTAAATGGAGACTCACCTCGGAGACGAGGTGCTTTGCTTATAGCTCACGGGTGCCCTGGGCTCAAGGTGGGCTGATGGGCTGGAACCCTTCTCTTCCCCCCCACCTCCCACTCCCACTGCCAAAGCCCCCAGACCCCTGCCTCCTATGCAACTGAGCAGGACCAGGCCTCTGCGGAGAACGCACTCCGAGCAGCGGAACACAAATGGTCTCCTCATAATGCAGAGGAAGGATAAATGAGCTACAGATGACATAAACATCACCCAGTTGTCCCCTTGCTATGCACCCTTTCCCATGTACTAGCTGTGAGGCCCTGGGAGTTACCTGCCCACAGGACCCCTGAACTCCTCATCTGTCCATGGATAAGAATGGTGCCTCCTAGGGCTGCGGTGAGCACTCCAACAGGAGGGCTTCACCCTGTCCACGCAACCCGTCCATGTTACTAACAACAATGGCAAGTGCTACCCTCAAAGGCAGCTCTGAATGTTGTCACTGTGGGCGAGAGGGTGTCCAGTGTCTTTAATACAAAATCATTGTACATGATCTCTGAAAGCTGAAAATAAATCGGTTCTGCCTTGATGTTCTCCTAAGTCCAGACTAAGAGTCCAACCACCACCTCCTAGGTACCTGATTCCATTGGTTGTAAACAATTAAATCTGAACAGCTGTTCTTTAAATCCATTAGTAACCACCAACCTGTCTTTGTGTCCTGAGGATTAATCAGGACCAGTATTTGGTGTTGAGGTGCATCACGGTGCATGGTACAAAAGCACACAGACGAAGCTTCAAGGTTAACCTGCAAAAAATAATAAAATCACCAGTTTGTTCCTTCATTAGTAAGGGCTCAGGAAACTACGTTAACGATTAGTACAGCATTTCCCAAAAGGACACTGCTACACAGAGGTTAATGTGACAGGATGTAGGCAACATACACATGGAAAATTCACCCGGTCTGAGCTAAGCATGATGAGCAGTTTGACAAAGGCCCTTGGCTGTGTTCTACCCAGTGAGCTTCTCTCTCCTCCATTCCCCCGTCCATCTTTTCGAGCACGGACGAAACACCTACTCAGCTGAGGCCCCCGGTCCGTCCCTCCCATCTACTTCCTGCCCCAGCACCTTGTCCACCCTAATCTCCCTTGGGCCTCAGCTGACGAAAGAGAGGGTGACACTCCCACCTCAGGTCCACACCTGCCAAGCTGACTCGACTGCCCTCCTATAACCAATCTATGGACCCAGCCTGGACAGGCCTCTGTCCACCCACGATGCCTCTCACACAGCCTGCTGCCCTGGCTCGGGTCTCTACAAGCAGTCTTGAGAAATCTGTGGGCCCTACAGGCTCAGCTCTGGCTCCATGGCAACCTTGGGATAGAGGACCTCGGTCCTAAGTACCTGTTTGCTTATCACCTAGAGGAACGTCCAAGGTCGCTAACGCTGGGACTGTCCCAGGTCGCTTAAGTGCCCACATCCCTAACCCTCTTTATGGCCATCAAATCCACTGCTCCCAGCTCCCAGAGCAAAAGGTCAACACGTTCCATGTTTTTCAAAATCTGTTTTGAAAACCGAGGAGGGTGTAAGAAAATGAGAAAAGAGTGTGTCGGCTGAGTGAGGAGGCAGGTTGTTTGTAAAAGTTTACAGCAGGCCTCCACAGTCTCAGAGAACTATTTCTTAAGAAATCCTGAGACCCGTCTTCGAGTCACCTTAGTGCAGAGTCCCACGCTGGTACTCCCGCGGCGGCGATGTGAAGCATGGCTCACCCACCAGCCAGCCATTACAAGGCCAGTACAAGCAATATGGTGGATAGACATGGAAAGAGGCTTATTATAGACAGTAAGCATTCAGAGTGTGATGTGAGTGTTAAAGAAAGCACACATGGAAATAGAAATCAAATGGAAACACATCAAAATGTTTATAGCAGTTAACTGTGGGTGAATGCATGTATTTTCTCTGTCCTTGGCTATAGTTCCCAAATATTATAAAATGAGCATATGCTGTTTCATATCCAGAAAAATCAATAAGTATGATTGTATTTTAAATGCGATAGGACAATTTCAAGACTGGGAAGAGAGTAAATAAATTATGAAAAGAAAAGACTTTTAGAAAGACCAGCGCGATGCAGAATAATATACCCACAAACTACATCCTTTCTTTTTATTTGGAAAATTTTCTCTGGATTCAGAAAAAAAAAGTTAAATTTGCTAAAAGATTAAATTTGCTAACAGCAATAAGGAGGTACAAGACCATCCCAAATTGGACTATTTTAACCTGCAAAATGGAAGAAATTTTTACCATTTCTTAATTAGCTGCTAAAATGGTAGGAAACCAAATTACTGTTTTCATAAAACTTTGAGAAGAGGGGGAGTGAATAGGAATAAAGTCATTGCAACATTTCCATCATATTAAAACAGCTTAATTTTAGAAACTGTCTTATATTAGTATGTTTTTGCTAATAACACTAAAAGTACTCACTCACTATGCATCCACAATATTAAGTTTTCTTTAGGTAACGTAATACATAAATAAGCGTGAAATAAAAGCAGATGACTGAAACTGCATCCCTAAGTAGTTCAGGGCTAATGCTCGTATTTCACCATGCTTCTTAGATTACCTAACATTTCCCAGACTCCATCTGACCCTGCAGCCCACCAGCCCGGCAGCTCCTAAGAGTAAGCCCCTGGCCTTGACCAAGAGCTTGTTTTTTGTTTGTTTGTTTTGTTTTTTTCCTGTCTTAGCTGCCACTAGGGAGCGCTGAAAGTGTGTGAGTAAGGGACCTCTTTCTGCAAACCAAGGATGAGCAGCCAACTCTGGGAACTGGCTTCTAGGAGTTGATTACAAACCAACCATCTCTAAAATCTTAGAGAAGCCACACTATAAAAACTGTACAGGCCGTTGGTTTAATTAACTCTGGAATAACTTCAGTACAGTGAAATAAAACCCTGTCTTCCTCAACCAACTTCGCCTGCCAGATAGCAAGAATTTCTGGGATGAGTGAAATCTTATATGCACAAGGAAATCTTGTCTCTTTCAACAGACCAACCTCAAATCTGAAAGAAAGGTAACTGACTTAAGTACAGCCCAAGATTTACTTATTCTTTTTACTTACTGCGGGGGTGGGAGGGACAACCTTAAAAGTAACACAATTAAAAAAAAAAAGTAACAAAATTTTAAAATTTCACCCACGATCCCACTGGCCTAATAAATAAATAGTTTTCATTTCTCTCTGTTCTCTTCCAGTCCATATTCAAAATGAAATCTTATCAATGCTAAAAATTGTAATGGATATTACTATATTCCAAATCACAAAATTTTAGAACTGAGCCAAACTTTAGAGACCTTGTTTTACAAATGGGGAAACTGAGGCCTAGCCAGGCATTACAAACAGTATCTCATTTAGTCCTCATAACCACAGTATGGGGTAAGCTTTGTTATTGCCACAGTTTTACAGATGAGACTACCGAGACCAGAGAAGTTAAGACACTTGCTCAAGGTCACACAGCTAGTAGGTGGTTTCACAACAGGCTGTCTGGCTCACTGCTTTGCAGAACTAGGCTTATAAAGAGGACTCCAGAATTCCAATCCTGGATTCCTTCTGCTTCTCAAGGTGAAATTATTATAGTACTCACTGCAGAAGGGGTTTTCTTATCATTTTTTTTTTAATCTGTAATACTCTTTCACTAACGTTCTACTTTCTAATACATTAAACTGTTCAGGGCTCTCTACCAACAAGGAAGATCATACCTGCTCCCCAGTGGGCAGATAGAAAACCTCTGTGGAGGGCTGTGCTCCTTCCCTGAGCCTGGCATAGTAAGCCAGGGCTGCCCTCCAATGCCCTTCAGGGTCATCTTCCAAAATATCCACTGGGTAAATGCCTGCTGGAGAAAAAGAAAGCAAGAAATGACATCAAGTGTGCTCTTTCATTAAGGAGAAAGTCACTTATTTTTTGAAGATTAAAAAAAGGGGGGCTTTAAAAATCACACTCACCTATTTTTTTAATGGAAAAAAAAAAGGCAGTGAATCAGCAGTCACTAAAAGATAAGACATTCCTGATGACAGGGTTGGCACCAACCCCAAGGAGATGTGAGGTTCCATGTGACCCTCTTCGGCCGCTCTGGAACCTCCTTTTATACACCCAGGCCATCAGGTGGCTTCCCAAGTTCCTCTCCACAGGGCCAGCCACAGCGGCCACGTGTACAAGCAGGTACAAGCAGGTACCTTGAGAGATGAGACTAGCTGCTTAGAACCTCGATGACTTTAACAAATTCCAGCTCAAGTTATGATTTTGCCAACTTAATCACAGGCAGGTTGCTAACATTTGCCCATTCTCCTCCTTTAATCGGGCTACTTTTTCTGAGAGTTTAAATCTGCGAGTTAGCATGACTTGAAAACTACACATGCAAAAACCAATAGCATCTCTTCCTTATCGCCACACTTTTGGAAGAAAGTTATGTCCTTAAATAATCATACAAATTGATAGCACACAATTTCACTTGAAAGTGGCAACTGGTTTTCCCCTGAGATGCTGGCTGGCTCTGGCTGGCATGTCCCCAAGTGGGAGGGGGCTCCGTCGCCCCTTCTCCTTGTGGGACCCCACTTCTGATTTCCCTCTGGGCCTTCCATGGGTGAGGGAGGCTGCAGGAGCAGCTAGCGGTCTCCTCTTCCTCCAGAATGATAAGCCAGCACACACACACCCACTGGAACACCAGCTTCCTACCTTTCTCTCAGAAGATCCCTTCCCCACTCCCGGCCATCTTTCAGGAAACAGACTACTATCAGCAGCAAAAAGTTTCAAGCCACCAGCCCACTAAGTCTCCCTTAGAAGAACTTTACTACTGTTGATTAGTACTGGGGAAAGGCTCATAGAAAACGGAGGATGCCTTTGCAGAAACCCAGCCACTGCCCATCTTTCCATGGTGAGAATGTCACGGGCACACGCAGAGTGGCAAACAGTTCAGTGAATACCTTCTCCCACTATTCAAGTTTTAAAAGTATTTCAGTGACATTCAGACCAAAAACTTACAACTGTAAATGCACTGACACAAATGTTTCAAATATGGACATGAAGAATTAACAATCCATTCAGTGACAAAGAGTAAGTCACTGAAGGACTCTGGGCTCTCTCTAAAAAAGGTTATAGCCAAGATATCCTGCTGCAGAAGGCACACACTTTGGGGGAGGGTGTGTGTGTGTGTGGGGGGGTTTCTCTTTATACACACACATCTAAGGGAGTCCAGGATCCTTCTCACTATAATGAACCAGGACACCCCAGCCACTGATCAGACGTGGCGCACAGGCTGAACCGCGGGGCCTTCCCCACCCCTTGCTGGCTTTCCAGGAGGAGAGCTCAGGGGCCAGATGGATTCAAGCCAATGGCTCCCTACTCAGGGACCACTTCAAACCTGTCACCAAAACCAAACTCAGCCTGCATCGTCTCTCTCCAATCGTCCTGATGCTCAGCGTCTCCCAACAGCCTCTGGCTTCACTCCCTCCCTCTCATCCATCACCGATGAAAATAACAGCTACAGCTGGCAGTCCCTGCGCCCTGATGCCCACTGAGTCGAGCCTAGTTCCCATTTACAGACAAGGAGACCGAGGCCTGGAGAGGAAAATGTTTGGCTAGTCAGTGGAACACCAGGGCACAAAGGTCTGAGTTCAAAACCTGTGTAAAGCACTCAATTGTTAATGACTCCATCAAAACAGCCTCCTCTCCCAAGCCCCAAAGCCCCTTCACATGAGTTCCATGTCCCGCACCCTGCAGGACCCCTAGTCCCCGGCTCCTTCTGCCTTGCCACCCTCAAGGCCCGTCTCAAACTCCAGCACACCGGAGAGCCTTCCTAGAGCCCCAGAAGGCAAGGGCTCAGGGCATCACTGAGTCCTGTGTTTGGACCCCAGCTGGGCCTAGGATGGGAATGAATACACCTTCGTCACCTCCCCTGTCCTGCAGGGCCTCACACACCTGAACTCGGCCTTCCACTGCGAAGGCAGCTTCACCCCACTCTACCCACAACTCAGGAAGGCTCCTTGGGGCACATGTCTCTCCTCTCCCACCCCATACTCCCACAAAGACCCCTCCCCATGCCCTTCCCTTACTGAGCACTTAGGAAATCTGAGTGGTCGTTCAGCTGAGCTTCCTGTTCAAACTGCTCTTCATTTCATCTGCTTGGTCAAGTGGCTTCCCCACAGGTACGACAAAGATTCACTGCACGATCAAATACATTAAGAGCAAACTGGGAAGAGGGACGCTGCAACCCTGGGGCGCCTATAATCCTGCATGCTTGTTCCATGAAATCAACTTCAATCGCCACCTCGGTCCAAGCGCCCCGGGAACCTCCACCTTCTTACAGAGCATGTCAAGACCCCCTGACTCTCTCTCTCTCTCGGCTGCCGGCCCTGTTTCTTGGGAGATTGGTGTCAGGTCCCGGCCACTCCAATGAGGCTGAACACTGAAAGAAGAGCCTCATCAACCAGCCCCATGAAGGAGTTGAACTTGGCCCCGTGAGGCCCCTCGGGACAGGGTGCATGGGAGGACACTGTGGTTGTCCTGCTTTTCCTGGAGGGGCCAGGGGTGGGGGTACCTCACCCAACACCACCGAAACCCAGAGGCCTGGCTGCCCCTGGGAAGCCCAAGGAGGCCTCTGCCCGGTTCCCTCACTGCCTGCCAAGGGCTGCCTGGCACCGGGTCTGGACCCGTGTGGTCAGCAGAAATGTTATGAATGTGCTTTGCTCCTTGCACACCATGAAATCATTTCCCCTCCTGGTTAGGCTGCTGGGGCTGAGACCCCCTCAAAGAACTCAGTGGACAGTATCTCCAGGGCACCCGGGCTCCTCTGGACTCTGCTGCTTGGCCGGCCCAGGAGTGGGTCCCTGGGGTCTTCTCAGCAGGAAGCCCAGCACAGCTGATCCTGAGAGTGGGGGCTGCCTGAGGCCTGCCTCTGGGGAGCAGGGCCCCAAGGACATAAATTAACCCCCAAATAAAGGAATATCCAAATATGTCAGTGCTCACACCACTAAGCAGCACCCACACTCGTTCCCTTTAAAACCTGGAAGCAGGGTGCAGGCCCCTGCACCCCCGGAAGGAGCACCCCACACATGGCCTGCTGTACCCCAAGCTGACCCAGGGCCAAGGGGAGGCTATGATTCTCCAGCCTTTTGATTTTCATTAGTTCTCTTCCTTCTGGGGAATGTCCCCCATCAGAAAAGCTAGGCAGCTTCCCTCTCTACAGAAAACGTTTGGGTTTGCTTTCTGGGAAACTGGGCTGGTGTGACAAAAAGGAGCAGTTTAAAGCAAGAGTGGGGAGGGGGCATCCAATGCCAGCTGGGAAGGAGGACTCACACCCTGGGAGGGAGAAAGGCCCCCTCCCCAACCCCAAGAGAAGGAAGATCCCTCCTAAACCAGGTGGCAGGAAGACCCCCTAGGAAGGAATGAGACCAGCCACCACCAGGGCCCAGGAGGAAGGAACACACACACACACACACACACACACACACACACACACGACCCTGCCTCCATCCAGGGAGGACGGAAGCCCCCACCCACCCCCCTAAACCAAACCACAAGGGCGCACTTGGGCACTGCGAGGGGCCCTGAGGAAGTAAACAAGTCTGGGGTGTGGAGCGCAGCACTGGAGGCTGTGCGAGGCCACCACACTCGCTTGCTGGTGCTGGGAGGCAGACCGGGGCAGGGGCTTCCAGATGTGAAATGCTAACAGGCTCTAATGGCTTCAACTGAACAGGAAATACTTTTTCCAAAGCCAAAAGAATGTAATCTTTTCAGTACAATGTAAAAGGCTTTTATGAAAAAAGGCCCACAGTTGAAATGATAATTAATTGCAGACTGTAAAGAAATGGAAATCCCCAAACAAACCCCAAATTGAAGAATCCGCTTGAAGCATATGTTTGCTGTAGTCATCTGAGGAACAAAAACAGTGGTACATCTTAAAGCATTCTTCTAGGGAAAATACTTAAATCATTCAGGATCTTTGTACCAAAGTCTGAGTTCCCAGAGTTGCACGAATGGCATGCCACACACCCCTGAGCCACTGCTGGTGATCCACTGCCAATCAGCCAGCCACTGCTGGTCAGTCAGGTGAGGCCTAATGCTCGAGGGCTTTCCCAGCAGTTTTTGGTCCTCCCTATGTAAACAGTAATGCCAATTAATGAAGACCCTCAAAGAGATCAACACACTTAATCATTGATTCAGTATCATTTGCGGAATATTCTCTCCAAATGCCACCTCGCCACAAAGATCAGGAAAATTCTTTCATTTTAGCAAAGTGGAATTTTTCTCAGATGGTACTGCAACTATGAGAAACATTAATAAAGGTATTTTAAATTTTACTTGCCTCACTCTTAGGAATTTTGACTTAACTGAAAGCCTCTTCCCGTTGGTAACTAACTACACAGCATTATGTCATTGGACACGCTGACTATAATCACTTTTTTTGTTTGTTTTTTTTAGTAATGTGGGTTGTCATTCTCCAATTACAAAAAAAAAAAAAGAAGAACATTTCCTGCTGACTATACGTGAAAAAAAATTCAAGGATGCAAAGTTATAAAGTAGTATTCTACACCTGTTTTTTTAAAAATGGTGAAGAGTAGATATTGCTTGTACAGAAATTTTTTATTTTTGCTCTTCTTTTTTCTCATGTAAGTGGTCTGTTTTTTTCTTCAAACAGTAATTTTTTTCTACAAGGAAAGTATTGTAAGAAGGAATCCTTATTATAGAAGAAACTGCTGAGGGTGGGGGGGAATAGGGTTGAGTGACAGGCTCTGAGCTTAGCAGAGAGCTTGGAGACTGGTTTCTAACCAGAGGGGCGGACACCGGAAGAGGCAGGAGGCATTGAGCAGGAAGTCTCTGTGGAGGTCTGAGCCCAGG